TTATTATTATTATTTTAAATATTATAATTATTATCATTTATAATTATTATCATTATTATTATAATTATGTTTTGAAAATAAATTAAATACAAATGTAAAAATGTTAAAAACGTCATTTGTGAAGTGCTAGCAGTCTCTCATTAACCGAAAGAAACAAATTAGATACAAAATAGCTGGAAGTTCCACTAATCGATTTCAGGAACATTCACTTATAGGGATTTGCAATCCTAATTCGCTAGTCGCGAATAAATGAGGAACATTTAAAAGCATCAAGTTGGATATAATTTACGAACTATTTGCATGTCAGCACAGGAAACATTTCATTGACCTTCAATTGCTCCATACAATGTATAGAGTCGAAAATAATGCCGAATTAGATGAAAAAGTGATGGTTTGTATGTAAAAAAGTATTACAATAGCTACAAAGCGGTGTGATTTTTTAAAAAATTCTTTTTTATCGCGTTTTTATTCTTAGACTTTTCAATATAAAGTATCTGATATGATATGTTACGATCTTTTAATGTTGTGATTTCGGCTTATATCGGAAATAATCTACGATCATAACTCTACAAATAAGGTGTCTGGTAGACAGTAACGATTTTAAAGGCACATTAAAACTTAGAATTGAAGAAGAAAAACACACATTCAATAGAAGGGAATTTATAGTGTATAATGGAGGAAGAACGTGTAAAATGCTTATCACATGACGGAAATAGTCCTGAACGAAAAACAATTTGTCTTGAAAATGTCCTGTTACAGGACACCAAAAATAAAAAAATAAAAATCGTTTGAGAAATAAAAAGTAATTATTTTTTATTATTCATTTGTTTTGCTTAATTGGTCTATATGATTATGTCACAAGTGTTACCAAAACAATACCGATCATTAGAATGTGTGTAAAAGGTTTTTAATCTAGTCCCATTAGCTAAGAATGTTTGGAGAAGGTTTTGAGTCGTGTTCGTACATAGTAAAAATTAGTTTTCTACGATTTTTTCAACAGCTTATAAAAACTGAAAACAGTAAGAACAATATAATGGAAGCTTTAAACTTCACATGAAGTCTTGCAGAATAGTATTTAAATTTCTGTCACACAATTTACCGCCATTCTATTGACATTTTAAGTTCTTTCTTAGAGCTCATTTAAATAATTATCTCTTTTCAAAATAAATTATGCCTTCATTTTGTCTGAAATTTCTGTGTAAATTAAAGTTAGGTTTAATGTTAAATATTTTCCAAGTTTATGTCAATCTTATGTTGAATTAAAATAACACAAATTATTTTTTCTAATCTTTTCTGGGTGATTTTGCAAATATATGAGAAAACCATATTTTAAAACTGAAATTTTCAAAAGTTATAGTTTTGTTATTTGTTGTAAAGGAAGTTATCAAAATGATTAATATGTGCATTGCAAACAAACAGTCTGTTTTCAGTACATACACATTAAATTTTGTATTTACATTACATTGACAACATTGACAAATTATTTTTCTAATCGAGGAAAAAAATTCTGATGCTGACAAATTGCGGCCTATGACTTATGCTACTGAGAACTCATCCGAAATGATGCATATGTCTGTCGTTAGTAATTTATCAAGTTAATCCTGTCAGGGATAATGTCACATCAAAAATCAAATATCGGTAATGAAACTACGTTGAAATTACATTTGGGCCCTTCCTTATATTGTTATGCTATTTTTGTTTCCGAAACTTTGAACGATATAATATGTTACTTTTTGTAAGTCATCCACTATTTTTATCATATTTAACTTAGCAGTATTTCTAAACACATATATAATTTATGAATATATAACGATAACTAAATGGTCATATTATTTTATAACTGTTTTGTTTATCGCTGTTTAATCAAAGTCTGACAAGGCTGTCGATTGAAAAGGAGTAAATGAAACATAAACGATGTACATGTAGGGCTGATATATTTTAATTATTGAGCTTATTCTATGAAATATTTGTTAACATTCATTGTTTACTGCGGTTCAACCAACTAGAAAGTAAATGGAGTTACTGATAGTTTTTGCGAAGCAGTATGTACAATTGATGTAAGATTGACAAATTGTCAAGCCGCCAAAGCCGTCAAATGTTTGGAAATTGTTGTTTACTCCCCTGTCATTTATTCAAACCGACAAATTGAACTTGTCATTTGATTGATATGGCAATAACTGGAATAAGCATAAATCAATCGAGAAATTGGGATAAAAGATGCGCTCGGTTGCCTTTTTCTTTCTTCTTGTTTGACAAAGTCGAAAATCGATTTCCCAAAATTCACCCAGTAAAATGTTATGGAATAAGGTAGTGGTTTCACTACTTTGGTTTTAAATTCCGCCATAACTTTTGATTCTAGAATGTTAGAAAGATATGCAACTAGCTTACAGTACTAACAGTACCTCGGTTGTGCCTGAAATATTGCACGGAGGGGCATCCGAGGTCTTCCTTCACCAGTAATATGGCCATATCAACTGCGTTATTGCGACGTTAAACAAGACATATATGTTTTCACACTATAGCGAATATGTCTTTCAAAGTCAACGACAGTAAGTAAATAAACGCGTGGCTAAAGCAATGACCATGTATCATGTTGTATAATACTAAAGTTGGTGCTTGAGTAAAATAAATGTATTTTTTTTTTTAAAAAAAAAGGGAAAAAAAGTAAGTCAGCATAACAACTTTTAATTTAGACTAAAAAAATTTTTAAAAAACATTTTTATACCCAACCCCATTTTTTTTCCCCAAAAACTTAGCTTTTTTTCTAAAAAAAGTACATTGCGAGATTAACGATTTTTGAATCTGTAGTTTTGAAGATAAGTACATGTAGTAGTACACAAATTACAAATGTATCTGCAAGTAGAAAGTAACAGAAATTTTCAAGAACGAAAGTATGCCCTAATACAAGTTAAGCTATATTACAAGTTCTAAGGCAAGTTTCTTTCATACATATTTGAATAAGTTAATACAGAAGATGAGCGGCTCACTGTGTAACATGTACAGTTACAGTTACACAAACTATCGTCATTGATTTGCTGCATTATATTAAAAGTTAACGGTGGTAACGAGGTTCCGCCTATTTCCCGCTAAACAATTACCCGAGAGGTACATGTAGATACTACCGTCTGGAACGAGAGTCAGTATTTGATTTTTTTTTCTTGAATATTTCATATAAATCAATGTAAAATTAAAATTATAAAAACTAATCATTCTATTCAACTCTATTTTCATATATTACATGTATTAGAGAATAAATTTACAGCTTCATTCATAACGGCCAAATGACGTCATCCTTAGTTCGCCGTTCATTCGGAAAAGACGCGCGGTCATAAAAAGCACAAATTGTGTCTTTCGCTGAGATGTAAGATTTTTTTAGTACCAGTGTATACTGTAGAAACTCATGTTTTTTAGATGCAAGAACTCAGTTTATACTTGTAATATTACTAATTGTTTATCTATTACTGTAAAGACATGATATTGAAGATATTTGCTTGCTTCACTTTAAAATTATACCAGTTATATATAGATTTACAAAACAGTTGGCAGTGGTTGTTTTAAGCAAGATTTAGATGCCTAGCATATTAATGTCTTCAGAAATCTTCTAAAATAAAAGGAATTCATTATTATTTTTATTTGCAGTTCTTTTGTCCCTAGTCCTCACCACAGGCGCCTTTAAAATAAGCTTAGGGATTACTTGATCCAACAATCAATGAATTGTTCAGAAGAAACGATTGAAAATTGAGTAAATAAGATGCATGTCATTCAAGGTTATTGTCATAGTTTCAAGCATTGGTTCAACATTCTTGAAAATATATCTTTTTCTCTGAAATATCGGTTTGTGAAGTAATGTTTTTACTTGTAATTTTTTTTTAAAATTTGACCGTTATTAATTGAAATGTATTATAATCTTATCATTGTTTTTGGTTCTTTAGGTCTTTAAGATATGTTATTGATTCTTCAGGATATATTACTTGCTTGTTATTGGTGCTTGATAAAAACTACCAGCAAATGAACTTTTACCCCTTTACTAACAGAACAAGAGCTAAGCAGCTAAACGGAAGCAAATATTTGGTTCAGATCAATGTTTATGAGTATCGTTTTGGAAACAATAACAGGACAACAAAAATATAAAAAGGTTTTTGAGAAATAAAAACTGAAATAATTTCTGTGCCATGATGGGTCTATAAAGATTTTTTGTTTAATGTTTCTTAGAAAATGCATGGATCTTGGGCCGTTTCACTTTAACTAAAATCAAATATTCGTGCCTACCAACTTTGTCATACCATAAATCAACAGTACAGTTGACAACATTGACAAATTGTTTTCTAAATCCCCTTACCGAGAAGCAATTTTGGATGCTTATAAGTTTTGTCTGGGGACTAAAGATACTAAAGTGTCATTTATTCGGACTCATATGTTTGCCATTAGCAAGTTGTCACGATTATGTAAAAATGATGGTGACAAATTAGTAATTAAATGGCCAAATAGATTGACCAATTTTCTAACAATTTTATATAGATGTGATAAATGTAGACTGATATTGTAATGCTTGCTTTTTTGTGGAAGAATGACTGCTTATGGAACAGAAATTTTATTTAACCTTTTAAAATTTATGCGGCATCATTATGACTTTAGTATATTTGTATCAGTGTAGAATCTTAAAAAGGGAGATCACTTTAGTGCTACGACTCGGTTTTCAGTACCGTCCATGAAAAAGTCCATCAAATCGAGTCTACAACATTTTCAATTTTGTCGTTTTGTGTTTTATTTAGAGATTCCGTTTTTCTCTATTTTATTTAGTCTGTCCAAAATCTTTCACTCACTTAAAAAATTGCTTACTACTCAAATCAGTTCTTTATCTCTTAAAATAAGTCATGAACCACCTCAAAAATAACGTTTTGAAATTATCCCCAAACTGCATTTTACTTCAAATGGACCTCTTCCATAACTTTTCCAGAATTCTTTTTTAAATGATAATGGGGTTATTCTTTACATTTCAGTTGTCCTATGCAGACACAGACCCTGCTCTTTCCGACAGGAAGAAGTATCACAACTTTTACAGAACTGTTCCGAGTGATAACGACTTTAACCCAGCAAGGCTTGCTCTACTGAGAAAATTCAACTGGACACAATGTGGAAACCATCTTCCCGGTGTTTCAAAGGAACGGAAAATTGGCATGTAAATATTTTATTCTTTGTAATTGGGTTTTACAAATTGATTAAAAATATTGTATTACTTCATAAGTTGCTGGTTATTGAATCTAAATATAAATTAAAAATTAAAATTATTCTTGCGTGTTGACACTCGAATCCATTAAGGACAGTGGTTTAACTTACCAGGGTCACTGGTTTCTGAAAAGAAAAAAAAAAGAGTGAAGCAATAAGAAGTATTTACTACTCAATAAAAATTTATTCACTTAAGTCGGAAGTTTTTTCAAAAACAAAATATGTTAATTGCTTTGACGTGGTATTTTTAACATTTTAAATTATTCATGTTTCCCTTTATTTATATGTCCATGTAGAAAATCTAATTTATTTCTGATCTCCCTATCTCTTTGACAGGCACATAACCACTTAATATCTTTACTTGAAAAATCTGACGTGAATATTATAAAATCGACAGCGTTTGTTAGTGATCCGGGACCTGCAATACGTACTCTCAAAGTAAGCACAACGTTCTATTACTCATCTTATTACACTCACCCTTAACTCACCACGGAGTGTGTGTTATCGCTTTGACAGCGACAGTTGAATCATATCTGATGGGACAGACATTTTGCGCTGAAATAACGCTTTTGACTCCCGGTGGCTCTTTAGCAACTTAACAGCCACTGCACAATATTAGGGTAATATCTTCTTCAAATTCGAAACGAAAAGATGTAATGATAAAATGTACTTGATGATTGCCTGCTGCGCGTGGGATTCGAACTCACGTCAAACAATATTAAACCATCATAAAAAATGTTAAAATAACGCTGTATTCCACTGATCATAAAATTAGATTCCCTGCACAGTTATAAGAGTACAAATGTTGTATTTATAATAATGTTCGGGGTAGGTGATTACTCATGCGTAGCAATCTGGATTTTGCCCAAATGGCATTGTTATAACAACAAGAAGCAGACAATAATTGTTGGTCTTTTTGTATATCTTTGAGTATATTATTATCAGTTGCAATATTAGTAGCTATTGCCTTGAATTGCCAATAGGTTTCACTGCATTATATTTATGTTAATATTACGTAAAGTAATATAATACGATGTTGGTATTTTACATTGTCTCTGTTTTTCTAGAAAACTGATACGCGCATTATTCTTGGAAACTTTGATGAAAAGATGGCGAGACAAGTCTTCTGTCATGTACGTATAAATTTATAATAATTATTATGATATATCAAAACATAATCTAATATATAAAAATGTTCAAAATTGATAAACACAAAGATGTGAACGTTTAAATCATATCAATAAAAGATGAAAAAAGTGTTTTTTCCGCATGATTTAAGCTTAAAAGCTAATAACCAATATTTGTATTAAAATTTGTTGCAAGTTTAACGTTGTTATCAAATATGACATCAAATATGACATCAAAAATAGAAGAGCGGAAGTGATTGGACCACGATAATTGCAACGTCAAAAGGGCGCCCTTGTTTGTACTGCTTGCAAAGACTCTTGACGCTTTTGTTGTTCTGGGAATTTTTCCGTGGCATTCGACAAGTTTATATGACATTCTTATCCGTAATTATTTATTTACGCGTTCCCAATAGTAACAAATAAACGTCAGTTTTAATAGCATTGTTGTTCTTGAAAGTGCTACAGATATGCGATACGTCATAAGGGAAATATCTAGCACAAGTAATAAAAGTGATATCTGTTTTATTAGAAAAACATTAGGATGTATGATGTGGCAGACAATACAGTACTTTGTGTGCGTTTATCCTCGTATTTAATACACAATTTAAGAAGATATTGCGTCATTGATTTGAGTTTGTGTCATAAGTTATATTAATAAATCATTTTGATGTATTAAATGATATACTTTAAATAATTACGTGAATCCTATATTTTCATATGAGAATTAGTTTGACTTTTGTGTTGTTGTTTTTTTGGCTTTTGTGTTGGTAAAGTTGTTTTTGTTCTTGTTATTTTTTTTGTTCTTCTTTTTGTTGTTGATATAGTTGTTTTTGTTCTTGTTAATTTTTTGTTCTTCTTCCTATATTTACATTTTTATCTTTCGTATCAAATAGTGAAAATTGAAATCCCCAAAGAATGCCTAAAATGACAAAATGAGAAATGTTGCAGGCTTGCTTTGATTGAGCCTTTAATAGACCGTATTTGAATATGCAACCTACCGTTCCGCTTAAGCTGAATTGAACATTACCCTGAGATGGTTAAATTTGGAATTTAGAAAAATCTACTGATTTTCAAAAAATGCGAAAGTACGATGATGAAAACGCGAAAGTACGATGATGAAAACGCGACAGTACGATACTACGATGATGAAAACGCGATAAACAATCGTGTTTTCACCATCGTTCTGTCGCGTTTTCACCATTGTAATTTCGTGATTTCGAGTTTCATCATCGTACTGTCGTGTTTTCATCATCGTACTATCGCGTTTTCACCATCGTACTATCGCGTTTTCATCATCGTACTGTCGTGTTTTCATCATCGTACTATCGCGTTTTCACCATCGTACTGTCGTGTTTTCATCATCGTACTATCGCGTTTTCATCATCGTACTATCGCGTTTTCATCATCGTACTATCGTGTTTTCACCATCGTAGTTTCGTGATTTCGTGTTTTCACCATCGTACTATCGACTTTCGCGTTTCAGATTAACACATTCATAGGCGATGGCCCTAACGGCATTCCGGAATGCCGTTAGGGCCATCGCCTATGAATGGTTTGATCTGAAACGCGATACTTGACAGTACCATGATGAAAACGCGAAATCACGAAACTACGATGGTGAAAACGCGACAGTACGATGGTGAAAACACGAAAGTTTATCGCGTTTTCATCATCGTAGTATCGTACTGTCGCGTTTTCATCATCGTACTATCGCGTTTTCATCATCGTACTTTCGCGTATTCACCATCGTAGTTTCGTGATTTTGCGTTTTCACCATCGTACTATCGACTATCGCGTTTCAGATCAACACATTCATAGGCGATGGCCCTAACGGCATTCCGTACTTTTCACAGCGGTACAAATTGTCTCATATCCTAGATGTGCTTTCCAATACCATTCGCACCCTCCCCGGCCGTATCCTTTGCTTTTTGGTCAGGAGCCAAAATTTTGTAATCCATATGTAATGCATATTAACAGTCTCGTTGCTGGGAAGATTTCAGTTGGTTGAAGACTTTAGTTGGTTTAATTATCAAAATAATTAAATTGTATTCGTACTTACCCGCGATATAGAAGCCTGCCAAATTAAAATAAAATACATGTAAAATAAAACATTCCTTTAATATTTCAGTAACATGCTTAAAATGAGATGATTTATTAATTTAATAGTTTATTTTTTCACAAAAATAAATGAATGTTATAAATTTAGTGCTATTTTCTCGGGTTATATTTTATATCATTCAGAAGCTACAATCTTCCGTGTAATTCCATCAGCAACCAGTTTAAACTACCAACATTAATATATGATCCCACAATCACTCATTTACTAATAAAAAACCCAACCTGTAAATTGATACGTTTCAATATCACTCCATTAAGCAGTGGGATAGAACTATTTAAGGGAAACATGACGGAACAATTGGTTTAACATGACATTCAATTACTATATTGTCAGGACTCCCTGGGACAGATCTGCTTTCATCGGAAACGATTTGTGTAATGGAATGTAGAGAATTGATACATCGCTCTTTATCGTTTTATTGGGTTGTTTTGAACAATAGCGAATAAAGGACAGTTGATACTTTAGAGGTTTTCAATAGAGCGCAATAGTCAATGAATGTATGAATGTTATTGCCAGCAATAATAAAAGTTAATGATTTTCACTTTGATCCATTGTGCTAATATATATTTTTTATAACTGGCCAATTTGATTGATGTTTTGATTGAGTATTGGCACGAAGCATGTGTTATTATGCATATTAATGATTATAGATTGATTGTATTAGGATGTATTGCAATATAAACAATTGCATAATTATGTAACCTGTTAATATTTAGATGACATGTAACACAGAAAATAAATGTATATAATGTCCGTCCGGTATTCTGTACAATCGTAACATGAATCGCATCTTTTGTTCCATGTTTTGTTAGTCCCCTACCGGTTTACCGGAGGGGACTTTAGGTTTACCCTCCGTCCGTCTGTCCGTCCGTCAGTCCGTCCGTCTGTCCGTCCGTCAGTCCGTCCGTCCACAAAACTGGATCCCGCGATAACGCAAAAAGTACTGAAAATATTTTTATGAAACTTGATATATGGATGGATGGCAGTATGGAGATTATGCACGTCTTTTTCTTTTTTCCCTATGCTGAAAATTCTGGTTGGCAACAAATAGACTGAAAATATGGCAAATTTTACACATAACCTGGATCCAGTGATAACGCAAAAAGTACTGAAAATATTTTTATGAAACTTGACATATGGGTAGATGGCAGTCTGGAAATTATGCACATTTTTTTCTTATCTTCCTATGTTGAAAATTCTGGTTGCTATGGCAACAAATGGACTGAGTTTCAAGATTTCTGATTCTAGTTTTTTAAGTTTTTTCACTATAAGTTCTTTATTTCTTAAGGTATTATCTTCAAACTTTAAATATAAGTTGCTAGTCATCAACCACATCATATGTGACAAAGTTTACAACTCTAGCACAAAATTTATCAGAATTACCTCCCTTGAACTTAAAATTTTCATGAAAAAAATATTGTTTTTTTTAATAACTTCTTTTTTTCTGAATGTATCTACTTCAAACTTCATATATATGTTTCTTATTATCACTCAACATTTGTGAGAAAGTTCAATACTCTAGCAAGACTATTTCCAGAATTATGCCCCTTTTGAACTTAGACTTTTTTTCGAGAAATTGGTAATTTTTACTCCAACTTCTTCAATCATGATAGGATTTTCTTCAAATTCCCACATCATAATAATTTGACAAGGTTTATAAATCTAGCATCCATATTTCCAGAGTTATCTCCTCCTTAAACTTTTAATTTTTCTTATTCGTTCTTGATCATTGAGTTTTATGTTCATTTTGTCTAGCACCGCTGATTCAGAAAGCATGTGGCATTAGTAGTCGGTACCTTGTGGAGAAAAAGGTAATAGTTGATAAGAAGTTGGCTAAGAAAGCATGTTAGGTGGACCGGCTGCCGAGTTGTGGCCAAAAATATTCGGCGTTAAAACCAAACAAACAAACACATGTTTCTTCTCCCCCATGTACCATATTGCAGTAGAATAATACCAAAGTGAATCATACATATTAATTGAGTGAAGGTTAAATACAGTATTTATTGATTGTGTCAAATAAAATTATATAATGTAAGCCCCTGAAGAGGTTAATATTATTACATTTAATAATTTCAATAAATTCAGTTGAATCTACAGGCATATAATATTTATTTTAGATAATCATATACGCAAAAATAAAGACATTTTTATTTGCCGCGCCTATAGTGTAACGCTAACATTAAGCGCGTCTTTACGCTATGTTTTGTATTTCACAAGTGACGTCAAAATAAAAATTCTAACACGACCCGCATTTTTCCCTATTGAACATAGAAGAACCGAAAGTGTGTGTTATTATGCAATAGAGTCACTGTTTGACGTTCTATATTTAGACATGTGACGTAATCATTATACATGTGACGTAACCACTATAAAATCCGACGCGCTGACAATAAGTACGGAAACAAATCAGGCGTAATTTTGCTTAATAGCAGGAACGGCAGCATTTATTTGTTTAAGTCGTGTTAGAATCGAAATAATATATCCAAATCGGTGATTTTATCGCTGGATAACATCACTGTTTGTCGTTCGGATGCGCATCATTATATCACTCGGGCTACGCCCTCGTGATATAATTCCTCGCATCCGAACTCCAAACAGTGATGTTATTGAGCGATAAAATCACAGTTTGGGATATATTATTTCTTAAATATAATCACAGTCGTGCAACATCATTTTTACGGAGTCGCAAAAGGGACACGGGTATGTGAAAAAACAGTTATATGTTTCAATTACATGCGCACAACAACAGCATGTTCTGTAATAAGTATCAGTTAAACAAACACACATCTGTAAACGTTTAAATCATATCAATAAAATATGAAAAAAATATTTGAATTCTCTGTCCTTTTAGAGCTAAAGAGCTGATAACCAATATTTGTAATTAAAT